ATATAAGTCGATAAGTAGATACTTTTCAATAAAATACTGTTATCGATTATCATCGAATCTATGTAAATCATAAAAATTTTCAATTTATCGTTATCAATCGATAACATCATATGTCTTAAATTTACACTTCTTCTTTGGCAGCCTTCTCTTCTTCCGTTTCTAAGTGAGCCTGAAAACCTTCTTCTAGAAATAGAGTATTCATACTCTTGTCTTCATATTTACAGCCATTTATGCAATAATCCTTAAATTCAATAGTTATTTCTTGACCAGCCTCCGCTTCCTCAATTATTTCTTCTGCTTGGAGTGACCGTTCTATCAATTTTGAAGATCATTACACAATTGATAAATTTTTTTATACTTTTACAATACTATTTCGAGGAACTCACATAACATATCTTGGTTATAAAAGATGAACAAGTGCACTCAGTAAAATTGAAGCTTTCGTAGCGTATTTTAATAATATCAGTTAAATCCACTTGAATCTACCAACTTTTATATTATATCGAAACCGAAATAATATATAAAATATCTATTACTAGGCTGTCAAAATTTAGTTTGTTGCGCAAAAAAACCATGAATAAACTAAAAATAACGATTTCACGAAGTAAGGTGAGTAGTAAACTTTGGTAAACATTGGTATATAAGCTTTTTTTATGTTTACTATATTCGTTTTATTAGAAATCTTTTAAGTTTAAATACAATAGTTTAAAAACAATTTACTAACTACAGTACATACTATTGTATATCTTTTCTTTTTTTTTATCGAGAGGAATTTTTTTAAAATGTAATAAAGAATCCATATCCAATATACGTGAGCATGTAATATTAGAATTTTAAAGGTTTAATAAAGCAATTGGTATTACGAACAAATGTTTGGGTTTTTGTTATATATACTCAAATATATACTGTATACCATATCAGATATGGATTTTCTGTAATGATGATAATTAAATATTAGATATATTTTAGATAAATTGAATAGATAAGAGTATGCTTGCTTACTTTATATAAAATCGAATTAAGCTTTAAAATGAAAATTTTAATTTCGCTGCAATTTTATTTCTTCGTTTTCTTTTTTTATTTGGCTACTTAAAAAGTTGATGATGTCTATCAAGGATTTGATGATACTTTAACACAGGAGCAATTTGTAGAGAAATCTAATTCGATCAATTGAACCAGTTATAAAAATTGAGGGATCATAACTATTTGTTTTTAATGTCCATCAAGAAATTATCTAATTCTTTAATCGGAGCAGTCAAGTAAAAATCATGGTGAGTCAAACAACTAATATTGCTGAAGATGGAGAGTGCAGTGGGGCTAAAGCTTTTTTTACTTTTGGTTGGTCAGACAACAAACTTGATGAAAATATTTCATACAGGGGTTTTGAATTGCAAATTTCACTAACTAATTTTCGCACCAATGGTCAGATGTATGGCCAGAAGAAAATTTTAGTCGCTGACTGAAAAAATAGCGTGGACAAACAATTAGACGCACTTTAAATATCGAATATATACTTTAAATATTTAAATATTGATACGTATACATTTTAAAATATCGATATTTAATATTAGAACATAAAACTGTTCACTAAGTATTCATTCATTTTATTATATCTCGGGACTATATGAACAGTCCTATCTATGCTATCTAATGGTATACAACTATAATGTTTAAGTAGTTTTAATTTAGGATAGCCCCATAATTCACCAACTTCCTCATACCAGCGAACTAAAACGAATTCAAATGGCTCTCTATTTTCTTGGTAAAACTTGAGTATTAGCAACACCTTGATAGATAATATTTGTGTTAGTGTAGATCTCAGTACTCTCGAAGTTAGATAAAATATATTTGTTGTCTAACTTTGCGAGTTATTTTTCTTATAATCGTTATTAACCATTTTTTATTGGTGCACGTTAA